TAAATACTTAGAATAAGATTACAAACAAATGCCCTGGTGAAAAAATGTATTTCATCATTAGGAATAATATTTAAATAGAATTTTGTGGAAACAAATAGATATATATTTTAAAATTTATTTTTTATTGAATCAAGACATTCAAGGACAGGTCAAAATAAAAAATAGGAGCTCATTCAATTCTTGCTTATAATTGTGATAAAACATTACTTATCGATTGTGCATTAATGCACTGAAAACATTGAAATGTATCAAAACTGATATTCATCAGTGACCACAACAAAGTAATTTCGGCATATTTATAAAGTTGAAGATATTGTAAATGACTGTTAAAGGTGCTTAAATATCTTTAACATAAATTCTAGTTGATGTGTTAGCAATTTATGTTAGCAATCATTGTTGCCAGCTAGGAATAAAACTTCCAAAATAAATGCCCATTTCTTAAAGAGTAGGGAGTATTAAGTGGGGGGGGGGGGGGGGGGTGTTGATGAATCTTAACTAATACTATACAAGCAATATTGGAGAAATGCATCCTCCTCTATAAAAGCACAGTAGAAAGATTTTTACAGGTACAAGAATAATAGACTATAATTGGGGCTATAAGATACAATTTCGTTATCGGTGTACCAAATTTGAACCAAGATTTCCTGACCCGAAGACTACATATTCCTTAACTGGGAATCAAATTTTCTTATATGGTTGCTAATACTGCTAAAAAGATCACTGGATTTGGATTTACAGGCTAACTGGAATTTTATAATTATGCTCTTTTTGGATATAAACTGAAAACGTTGTATTATGTGTAATTCAGTATTCACTTAAAGATATTCCTTATTCAGATAAGTATACAATGACTTTCCACAACATATTTATGACATTGAATTATTGACTAATTTTTATATGTATATAATATTAAATTAAAAATTCGGATTTGAAGCAAATGATTTATTTTTAATCAAAGCAACATTTTTTTCTGAACATTATAAGTTAAAAAAAACCCTCAAGAATCATTGTTTTTGTATATTTTTGAAAAATTTGTTACCATGGCAACATCAAATATAAGAAATTTTAGAAAAAACTTTATCAATTAAGAAAACACAATATTTGCTTCATATTTGCCAAATTTTATGCAAATTGGTTGTCAAAATTTTAAGATAATTGCATTCAAGTAAGCCAATGTGACAATTTTGTCAATATTCCAAAACAACTCAGTACTGAGGCTACCATTCACTTAAAACAAGTCAGCACACAAAGGGTTAACAATAATATAATTATCAAATCTCTAAAATATCGTTTACTTTAGACTTTAAACATATGAGATATGATAAAAAAAAGACGCCCATACTTTATCCACATTGGGTAAACGACTCTCCCGAGACAGAGGACTCAGGTTGTGATGGATCACCATACTAATTGTGGGAAGGGATATCCTTATCCATCCGTCCTATTGCTGAGATTTGGCCATTTCTGACAGATAGACTGTTTTTGTTATAAAAATAACTTGCATTGTAAGAAATACATTGTATAAGACTCAGAAAAATCTTTAAGCTTCTCTGAACAGATTGCTTCGGAGTATGTCACGTGACTGCCTGGATCACGTGATTCATGCTTGGGCAGAACAATGGCAGATGTGCATTAAAATCAAAGAGGACTACTTTAAAAAATAATAGACACTGAAACTTCATTTTATTTCTTTTAAAGAAGTAATTCAGTTAGTTCGCAAACTTTTTGATCACCCCTCGTATATCCCATTTGGGCGATTGGTCCCAACCTGTTAACTGGTTAGTTTAAAAAGGACATTATTGTCTTGATTGTAAGTAGCTTACATGAGCAAGCTCAAGAGAGCTTTTCTAATAACATTTTGTCCTCTGTTTGTTAACTTTTCACATTTTCGAATTCTTCTCAAGAACCACTGGGTCAGTTTCAAGTACTTTCAACCAAACTTGCCACAAAGCAGCTAAGCCTTGGGTGAAGGGGATTCAAGTTTGTTCAAATCAAAGATTAAGGACCATGCATTCTTTCAACAGGAGATAATTTAAAATTAGTGAACATTTAGTGACATCTTTTAAAAATCTTCTTTTCAAGAACCACTAAGCCAGAAAAGTTGAAACTTGTGTGAAAGTTTCATTACATAGTGTAGATCTTCAAAATAAGCATCTGTGTCAGTGATTCAAAAATACATACTGTTGAGGTGTTGAAATCAGCATTTTTAAATTCATTCCAGGTATACTGTTTTCATATCATTTGCTTTGAAATAGCATCGCCATGATAATATTTTAATCAAATACAAATACACAAGCATAAGTTTGTCACAATCAAATTTGAAATTTGAGAGTGTAGCAATTAATCTGTCTGGGGCTTTATTTAATATATCTTCCTAATAGTTTTCATTTGTAAGTGACAATAATTATGTAAAATGCATTTTAAAACCTTTTCAGAACAGTTGATATGCAATTATTAATTATACCCCCGCTCCAAAGGAGAGGGGGATATACTGTTTTACCCTTGTGTGTCTGTCTGTCTGTCTGTGTGTATGTCTGTCTGTCTGTCCGTAACAAATTTTGGTCGCAGTTTTCTCAGCAACTACTCATTGCAGATGCTTGAAATTTTAGCACAATCTTTGTTTAGGTATGCCATATGGTGGGATTCATTTTTGCACGAATTCGATGACAACTTCCTGTTTATCCGTGCGTCTGTCCGTAGCATACATAACAAATTTTGGTTGTAGTTTTCTCAGCAACTACTCATGACAGATGCTTGAAATTTTAGCACAATCTTTGTTTAGGCATGCCATATGGTGGGATTCATTTTTGTACGAATCTGATGTCAACTTCCTGTTTATCCATGAATCTGTCTGTACCATACATAACAAACTTTGGTAGCAGTTTTCTCAGCAACAACTCATGGCAGATGCTTGAAATTTTAGCACAATCTTTGTTTAGGCATGCCATATGGTGGGATTCATTTTTGTACGAATCTGATGTCAACTTCCTGTTTATCCGTGAATCTGTCTGTACCATACATAACAAATTTTGGTCGTAGTTTTCTCAGCAACTACTCATGGCAGATGCTTGAAATTTTAGCACAATCTTTGTTTAGGTATGCCATATGGTGGGATTCATTTTTGCACGAATTCGATGTCAACTTCCTGTTTATCCGTGCGTCTGTCCGTAGCATACATAACAAATTTTGGTTGTAGTTTTCTCAGCAACTACTCATGACAGATGCTTGAAATTTTAGCACAATCTTTGTTTAGGCATGCCATATGGTGGGATTCATTTTTGTACGAATCTGATGTCAACTTCCTGTTTATCCATGAATCTGTCTGTACCATACATAACAAACTTTGGTAGCAGTTTTCTCAGCAACAACTCATGGCAGATGCTTGAAATTTTAGCACAATCTTTGTTTAGGCATGCCATATGGTGGGATTCATTTTTGTACGAATCTGATGTCAACTTCCTGTTTATCCGTGAATCTGTCTGTACCATACATAACAAATTTTGGTTGTAGTTTTCTCAGCAACTACTCATGGCAGATGCTTGAAATTTTAGCACAATCTTTGTTTAGGTATGCCATATGGTGGGATTCATTTTTGCACGAATTCGATGTCAACTTCCTGTTTATCCGTGCGTCTGTCCGTAGCATACATAACAAATTTTGGTTGTAGTTTTCTCAGCAACTACTCATGACAGATGCTTGAAATTTTAGCACAATCTTTGTTTAGGCATGCCATATGGTGGGATTCATTTTTGTACGAATCTGATGTCAACTTCCTGTTTATCCATGAATCTGTCTGTACCATACATAACAAACTTTGGTAGCAGTTTTCTTAGCAACTACTCATGGCAGATGCTTGAAATTTTAGCACAATCTTTGTTTAGGCATGCCATATGGTGGGATTCATTTTTGTACGAATCTGATGTCAACTTCCTGTTTATCCATGAATCTGTCTGTACCATACATAACAAATTTTGGTCGTAGTTTTCTCAGCAACTACTCATGGCAGATGCTTGAAATTTTAGCACAATCTTTGTTTAGGCATGCCATATGGTGGGATTCATTTTTGTACGAATCTGATGTCAACTTCCTGTTTATCCGTGAATCTGTCTGTACCATACATATTCATTTTTGTACGAATCTGATGTCAACTTCCTGTTTATCCGTGAATCTGTCTGTACCATACATAACAAATTTTGGTCGTAGTTTTCTCAGCAACTACTCATGGCAGATGCTTGAAATTTTAGCACAATATTTGTTTAGGCATGCCATATAATGGGATTCATTTTTTACAAATCCGACGTCAATTTCTTGTATATCACTGTGTTTGTCCATAACTGAATTGTGTATTCACATCAGAGCGGGGTATTATTAGTGAGCATTGGCTCACAGACTTCTTGTTCTCACTGACCTTTAAAATCGCTTAAAATAATCTTACTGACATACTGGAGTATAAAAATATTGATAAAGACCTAAACTTGTTTTGATTTAAAAAAAAAAATGATTTTGGAATTGATTCAGCATATCTTGAGGAGTATACAGCATTTGGGAATGAAATTTACTGGGATTTAGTGTAGATTGTTCCATTCCAAGCTTAAAATACTCTTTGTTTGCTTTGGTAGGAAGGTAATTCTTTTTTTTCTTTGAAAAAAAAAAAGTTTTAGTGGAGCTTTTATTAGTCAGATAACAGATCTCAGGGATCTACAAACAGTGCTGAAAAGTTTATGCACCTGCACACAACTCAAGACTTTAGAATTCGACCTTCTTTAAAAAAAAAAAAAAATTACATTGGCCATAACTTTTGAATGGTTGGTGCTAGGGCTTTCACATTTCTCATGCTATTCCATGGGACAAGACCTCCCCTTAGGTATCAACAATTTTACCTTTTGACCATGACTTTGGAGTTTGACTTGCATTTGTAATTTTGGAAACTTAACTGTGGCCATGAGCTGTCATACGGGGGAATCATATTTTCATTTTAAATTACTTGATTTTTGTTGTAGAGTTGCATGGAAAGTTTGACATCTCAGGAATATTTCAATGTCCAAGACTTAGAAGAAATCAAAACAGGTAATGAATTTAATTTACCGGTTTATCATATGTGTAGACTGTAGTAAATATTGTACTCTGGCTAAGTTTTGGTGTAGACTGTAGTAAATATTGTACTCTGGCTAAGTTTTGGTGTAGACTGTAGTAAATATTGTACTCTGGCTAAGTTTTGGTGTAGACTGTAGTTAATATTGTACTCTGGCTAAGTTTTGGTGTAGACTGTAGTAAATATTGTACTCTGGCTAAGTTTTGGAGCAACAATGTTCCTTTATTGCTTTAATTTTTATTTTAATAAAAACTGGTATTAAGAACAGTGGCCATATACACTATGCAATACACCCTATTACAAATAAATTGTTTAAACATGTTCTTCCTTTTTTCAATCAAAAGAAAGAATTATTAGTTTTCAGAGAAAATAAAAGCTTTGAAATGAGAAATGTTCCAAATTAAGTGTATTTTATCTCAAAAACTCTTCAAACAAGTACAATTACGATAAGTCTAGTTATTTTCATGACATTGATTTTGTTCTCTCTCCATTCCAATCAATAAAAATTGAATGTTTATCTTACTTAAGTGTATTAATATTTATTTAAGCTATTCTTCTTTTTTTCACTCTCTGACTAAAATTGCCTCAGTATTTAGGTCCTGATATTACGTTTAGTCAAAAGAATATGATGGTAAAGATAGAAATGTTAAATTTTCATTTTTTTTCTGGAACAATGACTGAATACTCGATCGGAAAGGCAGGCCAGTAGCCGGTTACTAAAAATTGGTCTACTTGACAATCTTGATATATGACATGGAACATGTATAATGTTGCTTTATTTTCAGGAATGGAGTTAAGCTTACAGAAATTTCTGGAACTAGCGAGGCAAACAGAGGCATTCTTTCTTCAAAAACGTTTAATACTTTCAAAACAAAAACCAGAACAGTTTGTAAAAGATGTAAGTACAGTCATGTATTTAACTAATCAGAGCTTTTTTCACTTAGGTTTTAATATATTTATCGTTGAATTATTAGCAAAATTTACATTTAGTGATGCTAAGACCATCCCTAATACCGGTAATGCCAAAATTAGATGGTTGCTAAAATTTCTGTTATTTAGTATATATATACAGAATGCTGAAAAATGATTTACACTTGGTTTTCACTTTTAAAATGTGCAGGTAAGAAATGTTTTAAAGTTTGATGAAAATTTCTTAAGGTGAAATTACGTTTTTCAAATATTTTAGTTAAAACTAAATTTCTTCTTCACAGGAAACAGAAGATTTACGTGCTGAACTTGAAAGGAAAGATATTATGATAAAAAAACATCAGGAACGATTACAGAAATGGCAGACCATGTTAAATTCTGTGAACAAAGGATCTTTTTATACTTCCCCACCACAACAACAAATGTCAGGTCCCACTGGGGGGCAGCAGTATCCCTCCCACTCTGTCCCCCCAGGACCATTCACAGGTGGTGGGGGGATGCCTGGACAAACTCACATGGGCCTGTCCTCTTCTGCAATGTCAGGGGGACAATATTCACAAACTGTACAGCAACAGTCTTCTCATATGATGTTGCCTAGACAGGGATCTACCCCGGGTGTACATCAACAGCAGCCCCCTCCTGCGTATCCTCAGGGACCTCTACAGTTCCTAGAACAAAGCATGTCCAGTATTGGAATGCCACGAACATAGTGTCAAAGCTGTCATTCTGCATATATATATATATACACATACATACTGTTTTTATTTTAAATCATTCTGTAATGAAATGCCACAAACATGGTAATATAGCTGTAATAAAAATATTTGTTCATGTATGATTTATTATTCCTTCACTTCAAGACAGTGATACGTTTTGAATGATCTTGTGGTTTTCAGCCTTTTTTGGTGGGTGGTCAGAGAATGGTCTTGACTCATGCCATGTAAATGATCAACAATAAGACAATGTTGAATTCTGTTTCCTTGAGGCAGAAGTTTTAATGAATATTTTTCTCCCATCTAGTTTTTTGGAGATAATCAAATAAACAGTAGATATTGGTTTGGTGATTTTTACAATTTACAAGATAAACATAACCAATAAATTCTCATAATAAAGCTATATAAATGAAAGAAAATGGGCAAGAAGATGCTTTTTCTAGTGGCTTTAATAGAGTCTCAAATTGCAAAGTCCAGTAATGGCAAATATCTTCTTTTTTCTAAAAGTCATCTGAGTGTCAAAATATGACGATAAATGGTAGATTCAGATTGGGAAAATGGTAGATTCAGATTGGGGCCTGGCCACATGGTTGTAGCTAGAAATCATTTTATTTACACATTAAACTATGCTGAAGTGGTTTTTGGATCCCAACCCATTCGCTGTAGGAGAAGCAGACCCTTAAGACCTCAAAAGATGGTTTTCTGAATCACTTTATGAAACTTGGTTATATATAGCCATCATGCTATTCTGCAATTTTTAGCTCACCCAAGCTGAAGGCTCAAGTAAGCTTTTCTGATCAAAGGGTGTCTGTCTCACATCTGTAAACTTTTCGGCTTCCTCTTGAGAACCACTGGGCCTATTTTAACCAAACTTGCCACAAAGCATCCTTGGGTGAAAGGTCCTTCAAATGAAGGGTCACACCCTCTTTCAAGGGGAGATAATAAAGAATTAGTGAAATTTACCGGCATCTTTTTAAAATCTTCTTCCCAGGAACCAGAAGAGTTGAAACTTTTGTGGAACTTTGAAAGCTTCATATAGTTTAGATTCAGTTGGTGATCAGAGATTTACATAAAAATATATAGCCTTGGGGAGGCGATCTGATGATGATCATAGGGCCATAGTGACTTGGGTGAGCATTGTGGCCCATGGGCCTCTTATCAAAATTTACATAAGGCATGTATGTAGGAGTAAAATCTTTAAAATATTCTTTTCTTTTCAGAATAGCAATGTCATTTTAGTTATATTGATATTGAAGCATTCCCATGTTGTATAAATTCAAATTCAGTTAAATCGTGAGACGCCACCACTTGCTGGTGGAGGGCTGCAAATTTAGACCTATACTCGGCACTCAGGGCCATTGAGCAGTTACGGATCTTTTTCATGCAAGCACCTACTGCGGGAACTCAGTTTATATGGTCTCATCAGAAGGACTGGCCTCCACATCCAGTAGTGGGATTCAAACTTGCGATGTAAGGATCAACTCCTTACATTGCAACTCTAGAGCAAACACTACACTGCACCACGTGGGCAATGATACTTTGTTTTAAATTTGGCTGAAATTGGTCCAGTGGTTCTGGAGAAGAAATTGAAAATATGAAAAAGGTAACAGACAGACAGATGACAAGCAATCAGAAAAACTCGCTTGAACATTGGTTCAAGTGAGCCAGAAAGGATGCGTTTTTGTTCTGGCTATGTATGGATGAACTCTTCTTCAAGACCGTGCAGCTTTACCTAATAGGTGGTAGGTGGTTTGTACATTCAAAATACCTAAACATTAGGATGTTTAGAATGAATTAAAATTGCAGGATATGTGAATATTTTAGGACTGAACAATCCTGTGGATCATTAAAGACAGACTGTACATTTTAACGATGTTTTAGACATTATTGCCTACATTGCTTGGTCTATTAATTTTTTTTGATACATTTTAACTTATCCTTGTATAAACCCTCTGGTGAACCGAGGCGTAGGGAATACTACTTGGCTAATGAAAGAAAATCTAATTATAATTCGATCCTTTACTGTCGCCATAGTGACATAACAAAATACAGCAGCGTAAAGGATCCAATTTTTATTAGATTGATGAAAGAGGTACCTTGAAAAATTGCAGAAAATAAGGATAAAATTGCAGAAAACCAGTATGTTTTGTCGCAGAAAAGCAAGTCGATTCGCAAGAAAATGGAACATGCAGCGTTATATGCTGCAGTCCATTGGTAACTAATCTAGGGTGTGTTCACAATAGTAGGCCAACATTTCATAACAAAAGGCCATATATCTTATCCAGTTTGTATATCATCATAGGTTGATCCTGAATTGATGGTTTTATTTCATTTATTTGTCATTCAGCAGTATTACCCCAGCAAACTTTGTTGCCCACAACCAATCTGATACCCATTTTAGCTAGCCTGCATCATTCAAAAATAAAGAACACAAACACTCTGTAAGCAAAGGCTTATATTTTTATTAAAAATGTAGAAATAATATTTAATGAATTCTTTTGATTAAAACAATTGTTGTTTTGTTTCACATGGATAAGTTAGATATAGAATACCGAGTATAAAATACTTAGGTCTTTTAGTTTGAGTTGGTAGTTGATAAATAATGAATAGTTCATAAGCTGACAGCTTCTAAGACGCCACTTTAGTATTATAAAATATGTACGAGAGGGTTCCCAGAAATCTGTAAACATCCATATAAAGTTACCGGTACAACAGAATGTTTCTATCCTAGATTTTAAGATTTTCTGAGAACCTCTCATCGTCATCACAAGAAATAATTAAAATACATATTTAAAAAAAAACTCTTCTCCATCTCCTGGACCCACGGTACTAATCTCCATGTACATGTAGAATTAAGTTGGGGGTGGGGTGATGGGTTATGGTGTGTTAAAGCATACAACAGTATTACTAAGTAATTCTTTAAAATTAGGTATGGATCAGACCTTAGGAAGTAGTCCAATTAGCTTCAATATTTCCAGTCTTCACTATATATAATTATATAGGAACACAAAACATATAATCCTTTTTCCAAAAATCACAAAAAGGCATGTCCAATTGAGGTTTGCTGTCAAGTTTTGTTGTAAATCTGGAAAAAAAAAAACCGAGAAAAAAAGTGCAATCAAATTTACAACTTTGAACCTTTGACTTGTACCTTATGTTCCTTATCTCTCTATGTTTTTATCTTGAGAATACTTTTTGAAATGATATTGACTGATATGCATGTCATCAATTAATAATCTCTACAAACAAGTTCTGGGAGGATCTCATATAACTACATTTATCTTTCTGAGTGTCTGTCTTTACTTCATTTTCTGAATTGCTTTGTGATTAAGAAACATTATTTAGACTTGGCATAGATTGTGTGTGTGTGTGTGTGCAATTATTTAAAGATTTATATAAACCGTAATACGTGGATATCAAGCAAATACACGCATGCGCAGGGAATACATTCTTATTTCACTGAGAAAATGGCTTCCTTGTTTTCATTAGAAATTCCTTGAAATTGGAAACGTAGGTACATGTACCATATTATTGATACAAAAAGTTCCAGAAAGTAACCCCCCCCCCCCAAAAAAAAAAAAAAAAAAAACAAAACGAAAAAAAACAAAAAACACCCCCCCCCCCCCCTCCAAAAAAAAAAAACAAAACAAAAAAACAACTACGCAACAAAACAAACAAAAATAAAACCAAATATTAAATCCAAACATAGGTAATCAGAGATTACAGAGCTCACCTCAATGGATGTTGTCTTTAAGTAAGGCAAAGTCCCACACTAAACTAATAATCTATGAGTGTGCATCCCTAGATGCAACATTTATGCAATTTTGGTCTGATTGGGCTTGCAGTTACTTGGGAATATACTTATCTGAAAACTTAAAATTAGTCACTCATCCAGAAAATGTAAGTCAAATCCAGCATCCAAAGCAAGTTTGAGATTGTTCGTCCCTTGATGCATCATCCATGCAAGTTTGGTCCAGATAGGCCTTATAGTTACTTGGAAACGAGATCTGCTCCAAAAACTTTAACCTGGTCACTCATCCGGAAAATGTAGGTCAGATACAGCATCTGAAGCAAGTCCATTAGTGTGCATCCTTAGATGTATCATCCATGCACGTTTAGTCAACATAGGGTTTATAGTTACTTGGAAATGACATCTGCTCCAAAAACTTTAACCTGGTCACTCATCCGGAAAATGTAGGTGAGATCCAGCATCCGAAGCAAGTTCAGTAGTGTGCATCCTTAGATGTATCATTTATGCAAGTTTGGTCAATATAGGGCTTATAGTTACTTAGAAATGAGATCTACTCCAAAGACTTTAACCTAGTCACTCATCCGGAAAATGTAGGTCAGATCCAGCATCAGAAGCAAGTTCAGTAGTTTGCATCCTTAGATGTATCATCCTTGCAAGTTTGGTCAATATAGGGCTTATAGTTACTTGGAAATGAGACCTGCTCCAAAAACTTTAACCTGCTCCAAAAACATTAACCTGGTCATTCTTTAGCTGAAATTGCAGCATCTGTGAACCTTGACTGGTACAATGAAACACACTAGAAGCATCCTCCATGCATCTCTGACTAATATAGGCCATAGAAGTACTTGAAAAGAAAACTGCTCCAAAAACCTTAACCTGGGACGCCAACACCAAGGGTATTACATAAGCTCCCCCAACTTCGTTGAGGTGAGCTAAAAACTAGATAGCCGACCTCAGATTGTGGAATATTTACCTTCCTCTTTTTTTCATTCTTCAATCAATTTTAAAAATATTGAGGTATACGCTTGCATTGGAAAAAGGGAAGGAATATTAGTATTATGTTGAATAACTGTACATACAGGTCAGTGAATATTGAAACAAAAAGCCTAGAAGTTATTTTTCTATAAAAAAGATAACTTTTTTAATACTGGATAATTGGTAAGATATATAATAAATATCGTTTCCTGAATATTATATTGCTTAATTACCTGAAAACTTGATCATGGAAAGAGGAAAATCCTTGACTACAATAAAACAGGATTTCAAAACAAGAGATGCATAAGACCAGGAACGTATATGTATGTCCCTGATAAAACACAATTTTCTGCATTATGATGATATCTTAAGGTATTCAATGGATATCTTAAT